AATAAATGGGCATCAAATGTGTGGTATATAAATTTAGTCTGGAAGTTACCAGGAAGTTTTAGGCATTAGAAGGCATTTAGCCTTAGGATCAGTCTGCAACAGCAGCAACTGGAAGTGTCCTGCCAAAGGACTAGAGTTCTAGAAAAGGAACGTGCACCCAAGGGTGAGCCTTAAAGCTCCTGGAGAAAGTTACCAGAGCATACACATTCAGGTCCCCAAGCCCACGGGCTCTGGTCCCACAGCTGCCTGTTATGCAGCTGCAGGAAAAGGTCTAACCAGATGAGCAATAAGGCATGAAAGCAATTTTTCTTCTTTATTCCATCAGTGCAGGCTATTGCTGACACTGAATAGCCTTGAACCAGTAGTAAGGTGAAAATGTGTAACTTACAGAAAAACACCTATTTCCTTTGAAACTGGAGGTTTAGACCTGCTGCACTAAAGGTGTTTTGTCCCTTTTTCTCATTAAACTGTATAGCTCTCATCTTTCTGCTAATGAAAATGCTGTGCTGATTTAACAGTGTCACTGTGTTCTGTGAAAAGCTTAAGATAGCTCTTTTATCACCAGCTAGAACACCAGTGACTTGAAATTAGTTGTATACATGGAGGGAAAAACAGACTGTCCTTCTGCCAGAACAAACAACTCATCTTCATCTGACTGCATAGAGTAGGGGTAAGCAATCCATAAGGAGGAAGAAGTTTTAGGATCTTAATAGCTGTGGGATGGCTGACTCAGCGTTTTGACATTCCTATTAAAAAAAAATAAATAATAATCTAGAAAATCCTGTCAGCTGAAAAGCAAACTAGGTCTGCAAGGAGTAAACATCAGCCCTCCGTAAGAGTTCAGGTCTGTGTCCCCTTTTAGTCAGGTTTGAAAAGGTAGTGTGACAAAGCAAGGTGAATTATTTGAGCTAGTTTGTATGTCTGGGTTTGTTTTATGAAGCGTATAGTTGTCTTAAGGAAAGATGTGTAAATCCTGGGGTTGGGGATACCAGCTGCCTGCCTTTGCCCACACCTGCCTCCGTGCTACCTTCCTCTGCATCCTGCCTGGGTATCCTTGTGGGAGAGCAGGAAAGTTTATCTTCTGTCTCTATCCTAATTGTTTCAGTTTTTCTAAACTGAAAAAAAAATCCAATTTGACCAAAAGGAAAAAAGAAAACCCTGTTGTCATAGCAACAGAAACCCTCCACCCCACCTGCAAAAACAGACAGCCCCTCGGGGCCTCAGGGCTCACCAACAGGGAGAGGGAGCACTCCCACAGCTGGGCAGGGTTAATTTTACACTATTATTTCAGGAGCTGCCAGGGTCAGAGCCCACTGACCCCCCAGGAGTGAGGGCTGCAAAGCAGTGATTCTTACACCCAGTGCCCAGTGGACACATGGCCCAGAACTAGGAATGAAACAGGATTTGTTTTTCCCACACACATGGAAGGGATGCAAGAGCTTCTGCTGGTGATCTCCATCCTCCCCACAAGAGCACTTCACAAACTGGATCTGAGAGCAGCTCTGGAGAGTGCTGGGATCAGTCAAAGCCCAAAGGAAAGCCCACATGGCCTATTATTAATTTTGACACCAACATACGATGTTAGTCCGTGTCTAAAATTTTCCAGTATCTCAGTGCCACACACTTTATCACCTGAGACTGTCCAAATGTCAAACAGCAGCTTACTGTCACATCAGATGCAAGAGGCAGCCTTCAGTGCTAGTCTTTCCGCACCCCCTGCCAGAAGTAAATCCAAACATTGGCAGCACAAGGTCTGTCCCAAACTCAGGTAGCATGAGGTAGAACAGGAAACAGGAGAGCAGAGCAAATCCAGAACAAACATGGACCATGTACCTCTGAATGTTTCATTACACATTTGTTACCAGCAGTTCACCCCACCCATCCCATCCCTTCTCCAAACAGCTCCACTGTGAAGACAACATTAGCACAGGGTCCTCCCACTCCTCCTGGGATTTGTACAGCACACCCAGCCTGTTTTCTACCAGGTCATGGAGAGCCCAAGGTCTTGCTGGACTTAGTGACCTGTTTTCTTGAGCATTCCCTGTCGTTTTAAAAGCCTTGTCGTTTCCCTGTGCATCGCTCAGCTCACGTTTGGAAGGCAATTTCTGTGTCCTTATGTGGCACTTGCCATTAAATGAGGAACATTTGTTATCACAGTAGAGCAATTTCAATATCACGAAGAAAGTTGTTACTCGCACGCAACCATGGGACAGATAATAATAAATACAATAAATGTATTCTAAATACAAGGGCCATTTTCCTGGCAGGAAACTTATTTCTGCTTTTTAGCAATGGGCTCATGACCCAGAAACTTCAGCAAAGGCGGCAAGTGTATCCCATCACCAACCTGGGAGGGTTTGGCAGGACAGAAGTGTTTTACACAGTTTCCCAGTGCATTTAAGCTCCCTAGTGAAGTGTTCAAAAGGAAGTTTTAGTCAGTCCTCTGCAGGAATTAGCAACATCAAGATGTTATGCATATATAACAACATTTTGCCCGTTTTGGGGCTAGTCTACACATAAGTAAAACCAGACAAACAATTTCATACCTGCTCAGTATTCTGAAGTGCTCTTTATCATTGACCATGTAATGGTTTCCAAATGCCTCCATAACATAAAAGTAATGAGAGTACACTTAATTACGATATATGAAGATATTTAAAAATCAACTGTTCATATTTTGTTCACTTTTCAAATAGGATAATGGCATTAAAATTACTACCTTCTACTTACTTCAGTTATAAACATCACTTTTATTTTCTAATCTCAGAAGAAAATAAGAATGTCAGCCAGAAGAGAGCAGCAGCTTGTTTTGCATTTTGTATCTCGGGCTCAGTATGATTGTGTTAGAGATCTCAAATACCCAGGTGTGTGCATCAGAGTTGTTCTAAATAGGAATATTAAAGTTCCTGTTAAGCTGAAAACAGAGCTATACTTACCCTTTCCAAACAGTAGGTCTACACAGGATTGACATCACAGTGCAGTGGCTGAGGGCCTCTATTAGTACCACTTACTGCAGATCCAGGTGAGTTCACTTGAAGTAGGGAGCAAAGGTAATTTTCAGCCATTTATCAGCCTCTTGATCTTAGCAGCAATTAAGGCTGAATAGCATAGGAGAGTGAAAGTTACTCTAATGTGCATGGACTGTGATTATTCCTGAGGCTCTGCCATCTGCAGGGAAATCCTCCTCTCCCCTTCTGGGCTTCTCTCCTTTCTCTGCAGCTCAAGGGGAGCAGCCAAGGATTAATGAGCTGACCTTGAGTCTCGCCCTCACATATTTCCAGTATTTACAACAGTAAATGAACACCCAAGTTTTTAGCAACAACATTAATTTCTTTTCTTCTTTGGAAATGTAGCACTTTGGTGCATTCCAGAAAATTCTGCCTATTTCTATACCTACACCATCCATTTCCTTGTCACAGACCTGTGTGGCTGCTGTGAAGTATTTGGCTGGGCACTGGCTGTTGGTGTCAGCAGCCGTCACGCACCAAAAGCTGCCTTTGACTCATGCACAGTCCTGTGCATGTCTGGAGATGGGCTGAGGGAGACGGTTCAGGATCTCTGGTCTGCTCTTCACTGGCACTTATAGAAATATATCTTATTATTCTGCACCACCAAGTGGCCAGATTGAGCAGGGATTGCAGAACACCTTTGGATCCAGGTTTACTACATCACCCAGACGGGTTTGGTTACGCTGTGGAAGTTCATACTGGCCCAAACAAGCAACTAGGAAATAAAACCATTAGAATATAAAGTCATATTTTGAACATCCCCTAAGGCGTTTTCAGAGGTGTGTTGTCAGAACTGCTTCAGTTCTCATATCAGACGGAGTTCTTTGGTGGGCTGCACACCTGAAACTCAGGCATATTTTAAGTATTTCAAATTCAGTGGTGGATGGTTCTGTAAATACAAGGCAAATACTTCTGAGTACCAATGAATAGTTGTGCCAGAAGTAGGAAGAATGCATGTATCTTTGTGCTTTACCATTAGAGATTAATCCCACTATCTTTAAAAACTGAAAAAAAAAAAAATTGGCATTTCACACAGAAAGATGCATTACATGGTCTAAATAAGAGCTATTTTCCCATTCTTTTGTACCTTATATTTCCTGTGCTCAGGAGAATTCACAGTTGAACTCCTATGTAGTCACCCTCAAGGTACAAAGAGTGAGGTCTGTTGCTGATCAACACTGCTTGTCCAAAATCCCCCCATGATATAACAGCTGATTCCAATGCACGACATTACATATCATGTTTAATATATGATATTGATACTGGAACAGGGCAGGGAGTGGTCCCTCATTCTGGTTTTGGGAATATCAGATTATGTATCAGAAGATTTCTTCTTTCAAGATGTTAATGAGTTGGGTCACCAGCTGAGAATCTTAAATAATAATTTCATAAATAGTATTTCCTTAAGTAGTACTTTACTTAAATCTTATTTCAGAGTATCTTACAGGCTCATCAATCTCGTACTGGAAATCTTTGTTACCTGGATTTCCATGGGCCATATGGAGAGGTATTCACTGGGAGTCAGGACCCAGCTCAGTGCTTTAAGCCTTCACATATTTCAGTGGGAGCCAGGCTTTTAACCTGCCTAAATACCTCAAGCGGTCCCTTGTTTTTTGAACGTTCAAGTTCCTAAATATTTTTCGATGCCCAGCTCTGTAATTGTATTCAGGCACTGTAATTTCACCTTTGTTCCAGTGTCTGGAAATTCACAGTTCCCTATTGCACTTCATGTTGGTTCCATGCATTGAGACCCGGAGACCTGCAACGAAAAGTCTCTTACTTGGGCACATTTGGGGTTGGACACAGGCCATACACACAGAGCCTTAATCCTCATGTTTCTTTTCAGAGTGGAATTTTTAAAGTCCCTTATAAGCCCTGAGGTCACAGTGCATTGGTCCCGACCCGTGTGCGTTCCCTGATGACCAAGGAACTGAGAAGTAAAACTGGGATGGAGGCACTCAAAAAGCTCAGAGGGGTTTTCTATGTGTGCCTCACCACCCCTGATGTAATGCATGGCAGTACAGGAGAAAACTAGCAGGGATAGCAGCAGCTGTTGAAAAACTAAGCACGAATGCTGGAAATGTAAGTGTGCTTCTGATTATTTAAATAAGGACAAATTAAGAAGGAAGAATAAAGAGAAAAGGCATTTGTCTGGAGTGCAGCAATGCCTGGAGACTTCTGCCACGATCAGAGCGACATTGTGCTGTGCAGGCTGTGAAGGATTAGCAAAAGGTTGAGCCAGGGGGACTTGCACACCAAATCAGTAAATCAGTCAAATATGAGTGTTTGCATTTTACAGCTGGTGCTGAAAAATGGAGAAAGATGAAGTGACTTGTGTGAGAGTTGATTCCCGGTTTGCCCAGGGCGCTGTGCACCTTTGAAAGCAGTGCCACTCTGGGAGAAGCAAGCGTTGGCTACCACTGAGGAATGGGAGGTCACAAACTGGGTATCGTGTTGTGCTGCCAGTGGGGTGGATCCTGACTTCCTCAGCCCACAACTTGCAGTTGGGATGGCAGAGAACCCTGTGGTAGTCTCTGTATTGACTGATGGTGTTCAACCAGTGTCCGGGCTCTGGCGACAACAGGGTGACACTCAAGGTTAAGGACCTGACAGTTTTAATCTTTGAAATGTCAACAGTTGAGGGGGCAATATAACTATAGCACCCCAAATTGTAAATGACCATTTGCAAATGTCTTTTGGCTCCAAAAGAACACAAGGCTTCAGTGCTTAAGACTTGCTATATATTTAGATTGAAAGTCCCTTCTGTCTGTTGAGGTGGCTGCAGGAGCCACCACCACTCCTGTACACTGCTACGGACCAGCTAATGCCATTGCCTTGGGAGCTGGAAGCTTTGCAAGAGATCAAAGGTACAGAGTAACAGGACACATTCATTCAGTCTTCCCTCAATATTGTGCCACATGGTTGTTTCCCTTTTGCACCTCAGGACACAGAGAAGGTCTTTCCTCAAAACCATCAGCAGGTCAAGCAGGTAAAGCTGGATGCTTTGCTTACCTCCTCTGCTTCATCCACAGGATCCATATGTCATTCCTGAGATTAAACCCTGGCACCACTTGGAGTCAATGAGCAGTTTGCCAATTATTTTCCAGGCAATGAGGATTTCATCCTTTGTTCATCCTGTGCTGACTGGGCTAACGATGTTCAATTAGAAACTGCTCTTTGTTCTAGTGCAGTCAAGAGGATTCTTGCCAATGATTTGAATGAGCATTAGATAAAGCTTATGGCTAAATCCAATCCTTATGCAGAAATCCATGGATCCCACTGAATTGCTTTTCTCCCAGAGAAATTAATGGGAGCTGTATGAGAACATCTAAGGGAAGATTTAGTTCCTGTTTGTAACAATATGTTACCCCCTGATACTGGGCCTGCTTTGAAATGTTTATTGTTAAATCCATGAATTTTTGGTTATATCTCATTAAGAACATAATACAGCCTTGGAAAGTACATTCTGAAAGGGTATTACAACTGGATTGGGATTACTGTTTGTGAGACACTTTTAACTAGGGGGAAATTTCAAATTCAATTTACAGTAATGTCAAACCACAATTAATATATAGGCAATGATAAGGGGAACATGCAGAAGTACACATTGATAACACTACATCAACAAATAAACTTTTGGTGCTAGTAATTAGGTACACAAGATTATTATATGTTTAATTGACTAAAGTGACAATTTGGAATTACATCTAGTCACATTTAATTGGATTTGGAATCTCTAGAGGAAAAGAAACAGAGAGCAATGTAGAGAGGCAGCCATAAAAGCAAACTGATTTTCTAAAGTCTGTTAAGACTCTGCATTAATATCCTTTGCACAATATTCCTTTTTTAATATCCCTCAGCCTAGAAAGAGTAATGCAATGATTGTCACAGACAGTGGGAGTACCAAAGCATACTCAGCTCGGTGACAAGACAGTTAATTACTTTTAGTTTGGGGTGGGTTTTAAGATATAGTTTAATCAAAGGTGAGCTATATCTGTGTTTGCCATAGATAAGTGATATTCCAAGACTGTCAAGCTAAAGGGTATTATATACATTGATACTGTTCCTAGAAAAAATGTACTTACATATATTTCACCCACAAATAATTTAAAGCGAGAAAAAGAAAAACCAGGCTAAAATATTGTATAGCAGCCATTAAATATTTGCTGAGAGTAAAATACTGGAAAGTTATTAAAATAAAATGTAGAGTTGCTTGTTGGCAGATAGCTTAACTAGCTCAAAAAATGTTTATCTTAAAGCTGGACAAAGACTGAGAATAATGTGTAATCTTTTGGTACAAACCTCAAGTTGCACTCTTCTAATATTACCTCCTTTAAATATTGCTATTTGCATTCTGCTCTCACTCATTTATTCTGCTTTTGGGTTCAGGAGCCCCATGATTGCTGACTGTACGTTCATCACGATGGGAGGCACCGCGTACGCAACAAGAGACCTCATCCGTCTGTATTGGCAGGCAAAAATTGATAGCCCAATGAGGAAGGAGGTGCCTATCTCACTATTAAGATCAAAATGAAGGATTACTGCTTAAAAGACTGCCGACAAAGGTAGCTCTTGGGTATATCAATCAACAGGACACTATACGGTACTACTGTATTTATAATGAAGTAGACTTCCTTGGACTAATTTTAAGGGCAAAATTCAAGGTTGTTAACCCTTGACTCATACTTCAATTTTATGGAGTGCTATAAAATTCAATTCTGGATACTGTATAGTCCCCTAAGCTATTTTTTGTGACGTTGTCCTACCTTAGTGACACTTTCCTTTTGGAATTTGCATGGTGCTAATCCTCTGACGCCTTTCAAAACTCTTCATCTGGAAGGGGAGCAAGAAAATGCCTGTAAAAACTGGTCTCAGAGGAACTTGCAGTGCTCTGTGAAGGATGACTAGGCAAGACCCCACTCTACAAAGATTACTTATGTGGGGAGTAGACCATTGACTTTAATGAGACTTGTTGGAGTGATACTTATTTGAAATGGTTGTTCAGTCCAATCAGCACAAATTTAAGTTTAAGGGTGTCCCTCCTGCTCTGAGGAGAGCTCTCACACAAACCTGGAGGTGAACGGATGCTGGATCCTTTGCTGGGAGATGCTCGTTGCTGCAGACTCCCAGAATGTACCTGGTCCTCAGGTTCTCCACAAAAGAAGTTAAGAATACTAGGAACAGTATATGTCCCATGCAGCAAAATTTCAGGGTTTTATTCTGATGGCATTTATTTTGATTTATTCTATGAGATCATCTGTGACATCTCTACTGTATATGTATTGGTACAAAACATGTCTGACGTAAGCCAGAGTAATAAAGTTCAGAATGTGATCTTTTATCTTCCCTCGCGTGGTAAATTTTTCCTTTTTTGAACTATTATTAGTTGCATTCTTATTGGTAAAACTGAATAAATCTCATTCCCAGGAGCTGCTGAATTTCAGTACTGCTGTGAGTGCAAAGTGCATCTCATTCAGAGAATTACCCACTGGGCTACTGTTTGCAGTGCCTGTGAACTTTCCTGTGTGCTTTCCAGCAGAGAATTTCTTCTGTACAAAACAGTTTGATTTTTTTTTCCCCACTGGGTCAGACTTGTTTAAAATCCCGAGTTCACAAACAGGTTTTATGAAGGGGTCATTTCTTCAAATGGAATGTCGTTTTTTGTCTCTTAACACTGGAATCCATTGACTTTCCTTCTTGATGTCATGGACATGAAGCTTCAAAGAATAAAGCTTTAAAGGGGGAGCTGTCATAGCTGTCCTCTCCCCCCGGGGGCCTAGACTGTCCTGCTATGTAACAGGGCCGAAAAAGTAGCATGAAGGACAAGATTTATCACATTTCCTCCTTGTAGTGTCTAAACCAGAAGCTGTGGTTGGGTTAAGGTGGGAATGAACCAGAACTGAAGGGGGAATGGAATCACTTCCAGCCATTACCATCATCTGCCAGATAGCAAGGGCCAAATTATTTTGGTAGCACTCTGGTTCATCAGTGCTTCACTCCAGAGCTCACAGCTCATTCCTCTTCCTGATGGAAAGTCCATGTGTGGGCCTCCCTGGACCCCTGTGGTACCACGAGGCACCACCACACTGTTTGTGCCCCGTTCCCACTCCTTCTCTGCGCTTCTCCCAAGTTCACTGTCATCTTTGACTGCAGGAGCTTTGAAATGCCAGTAGAGATCTAACCATTTGTTTGATTCCCCACTGTACTCGATTTTCACCGGGAGACAGAGATTGCTCTGCAATTTTTGTGCTTTTTGTGTGCGTGCCTGAGCGTGGGCTACGCGAGGGATTCAGCGGTATCGAGATGCTGACACGCACGCAGGAGAGGCAGCTGGGTGCCCAGTGCTGCTCCCACTCAAGTTAATAGCTGGCACTCAAGAGAAGTTGCTCCTGAAGATATATCCCCAGCACCAGTAAGAACCTTTGCCCCCCGCAGCTGATGAGTTCTGTGCACTCAGCATCAGGGGTGGTTTCTATGTCATTAGAGCGCACAGCAACAGTTATGCAGGATGATGCAGCATGTGACACTGCTCTGGGACTTTCCACCACAGAGAGACTGAGCAGAGGTAGCATAATCTTTTTTTATTAATATTCTCTCTATTTCATGGTGTAAAGCTGAAAATAACTTGTCACAACTATACATGCTCATGTGCTTTTGTAACCAAAGCAACAGCTATTGATGCACACTTTTCTTGCTAACTACTCCTCTGCCCCAGAACTCACCAGGATTGGCTCACAACCATGAGTAACATTTTCCAAGGAGGAAGGGAATAGAAGGGAAACAGGATGGTTTGTTTTTTCCTTCTGTGAAGAAAGACTTTTAGATTAGATACATCTTTGCTTTGATCAGTGGGTCATGTATATAATCTTCTGGTGTGTCATAGACTACTTTTGTTTCTTCTTTTCATGATTCTTTTAAGTGCTGGGAAAGGCTTTTCCTCCTCACAGCCTGTCTTCCCCTTCTGCCATGGCTTCAAATCTTTGTACAGACCACTTGAATCCTTGAGCTGACAACTTCACTGCAAAAAATTCAGGCCCTTAATTTACATCTGCAAAACTCTTTATTTATCCTACTTCTAAATCACTGGTTTTTTTCTCTCCTGATCTATTCCTCATGCTCAGAGCAGTCTTTATCTTGTATCTCCTCCGTTTTTCTTCTCCTGATATGGGCCTTATACTTTCCTTTGAACTTCTCCTATCCCTGACATCAACTGCCAGGAGTCTTCTTTCTTCAAAATCCTTCTTAAAACATCTTCAAATTGCTCCTCTCTTCATAATCAACTTTTACATGTTTCCTCTTCTCCAGCAGTAACCTGTTCCACGTGCTCTAAGGCACACTGCAAGGTTTGTATTCCTAGATTTTTAAGCCAGATGGGCTTATATTGGTGAATTATCTGACTTTCTGCATTAAAACACCAGAGAATTGCACCCTTAACTGCCTACGTTGGCACCACAAGAAAAAAGCAGAGACTGGTTTTGAGAAAGTTACCCAATCACCTTTCTAAGCAGTTTAAGGATAGAATATTTACCATTGCCCATCTAATAGTTGATTTGTTGCATGATTTTTCCCTGTTTTTCTCCCCAGTTTACAAAATGGGATCTTACTCATCCAATCCAAACTTTCAGCAATTTATATTATGCATTAATTTCTAAAAGCTTAAAGAACCTTTAGTACTTGTTATCTTCTCCCTGTATATGTATCTATGGATCATGATCAAGGCAACTTTAAATATTCTTTTTGATTAGCTTTTTGATTAGCTTTCTCTGATTGTCCCCTTTAAAGTAAATCATCTATTTCTGGATCTTCTGTACAGTGATATGTAATATCTAATGCCCTGTGTTGGTTTTGAATATTAATACCCATCTTCCATTCTACTCTGAGACAGAAGTATAATGCAGATGAGCAGTGGAAAAGTAATTTGCAATGGATAATATTATTCAGTAAGTTGGGCCTTTTTCTCTGTTCAAATATTTTATTCTGTGGATTGAAAATATACATTCCAAGTTAACACATCATCAAATAAATGGGCTTTTTTTCATAGCCCACTACAGATATGCACTGGATGATTTGTGTATTGGCTGTTAGATTGAAAATAGGTGAATTAAATAGAGTTCATCACAATAAATAATAATGGAAAAATTAAATGCAGTATGGTAAATATCTTCAGAGTGGTAGCAACAAGACAAAGTTTAAACTTACTTATTACTATAATCGGATAAGCTCCCTAGCATTTATTGTCAGCAATGCCATTTCTCAGCTGGTAATAGCAAAACAAACAGTAAGCTTGTGATATTTCATCCCACAGAAAGAATCCCTCTCCAAGCTGTCCAGTTTTACTCACACCTTTGCAAACTACTTCCACTGGCTAAAAACTGTGCAATATAAGCTGGATGTTTCATTCTGTGAGTAAAAATATATCACACCCATATGACAATGTCAAAAATTCCCAACACTGTCAAACAGGAACTTTGCAAATACCTTGAAAGTCACAGCCTGATTTCACCAATATCTGGCACTGCCATATTAGTGTTGTGCCTTTATTACCTAATTTATAAATATCTCAGTCTCAACTCATTAGCACACTGCAAATACAATTCCTTTTATTATTTCATTTTGAAAACCGTGTGCCCTATTTTATACTAGAGGTTGAGCTCCAGCATCCACCATGCACTTATACATCTAAAGTCAATCCTATCCAGCCAAAATCTCACACTAAATACCATTGCACCAGCTATGCATATGTTGCAGAAACTAACAGAACCCCAGGAAAGCATTTCAAAGCTTGTAGGTTCCTATCTGCATGCTTCCATTGCCATCTGTACTAAAAGCCTTAATTCATGAACACAGCCAACATGTATTTGCTACAGCTCAAATGGAGACCTTTAATTTGCATTGGAGTAAACCAGGCTTTTAGCTTTAGTTCCAGTTCAACTCCAGTGTTTTGGCCAAGATTGCAGCCATCACAGAGCTGCTTTTAGCAGATTGAAAATGAAACTTGTGTTTCTGAGGATATTTCTGTCAGCTAAACTCAACGCCACAGAGAAAGCATCCAGTAGCACATGCAGGTCTGTGTATTCAGACCTTTGTTTTGCACTCTGGTTGCTGTTATGAACATCAGGTGCTTCCATTTCAAAAAAAATCTGGGCTATTCCAAGCACAGAGCAACCTGCACATCACACAATAAAGCAAACAATAACCCAGCCCTGCGAGGTGGCTGAACACCTACAGCGCAGCGGTGAGCGCTGTCAGATCCTTTAGAGCTCAGCTTTATCTCACACCTTGTGGGGTGAAAATCCAAGGTAAGGAAGTTAAGGGGAAAAGCTCTTGGTAGCCAAACCCTCCTGTGCAGTCCCAGCTGGTGCCCAGGCCTGTCAGCAGCCCTGTGTGCTCAGGCTTGACCCGTGCCCTGCTATGGAGCGTGAGGTTTCCAAGCTGGCAACAACAGGGATGTTTTGCAATCCTCCTAATGCAATGACTGATAGGAGCTGACAGGCAGCCTCTCTG